TAACGTTCATGAGGAGGAATCCCTAACTGCAGCGTTTTGTGACTTTTGGCCGAAAGCCATCTTTTACGCTTATAGAGGGCTTACTCTGATACTTAGTACGTGTATCTTAAAGCTTTTGTTCAGCAGTGAACTACGCACTGCAGGTAGTTCACGGACGGCGTAACAGGACGTGTACAGTTAACAATACATCTCCTTTGTAAGTAGTAAGTAGTTTATTTCCTCATTTTACCTGGTGAATATCTTACCAAAACGAAAATCTTTCTTCTGTTCATTCTTTTCCAAAGCCAATGTGAACAGTTACACATCTTTCTTCCTAACTGAAGTACGTTAACTTCATTTCATCTGGGGCCGGGAGGCGGGGTGGTCACATCTGGTACAATGAGCTCCTGATATCATCAAGCTTCCCAAAGCTTTTCAAGGAATACCTTAACGCCGTGTTTAAAGTTTTATTTCACTAAATTTTAAAACTCTAGCCTCTACTTTTTAGCTCATGGATGACGTAGTCATGCCATGGGCTTTTGGAGGCAGTCGAATGGCACTCGATCACTCACTCACTCACTCACTCACTCACTCACTCACTCACTCACTCACTCACTCGATTCTCATTAATTTATTCATTAAAGTCAGATTAAACACGTTACTCTTGCCTCCCTTAGTATATGTACTACGAGCTACTAAATACAGAATACAGGCGCTTATGGCTAAATTAAATTGCTTTAGAACGCGCTTTTGCTAAACACCAGCTACAAATTATTTTGATAAACGGACTGAGCTCGAAGCTGTACGTGCTCTTACCTAGCTAAGTAATTTAAATGCAGTCGAAGTATCCGATTGCCCTTCCGTACCTGAATATTCTAGAAACTTGTTTATTCCAGCGCAGCATTTCCTGTAGAAATTACTTTAATAGCACTGATAAATGGAATCACCGACAAACTAAAGTCTACTGGCGGGCAAAGATCACCTAATTATAGAATTCAAGCAAAATCGTTCAAATGATAATAAACCACAATAGATACTCCTCAACGTCGCTTTAACAATTCGAGGACCGTTTTTTGGCAGCTAAGGCTCTTTGGCTTATTCGCTTTTCGCTGAACGAAATCCCATCGTCAGGCTGCGATAGCTTTTTCGTGCTCCTGTCGATCGAATCTTCTCCATACAAAGCTTTATCGAGAACAAATGTGCACAATTCGGCCAAATATACAACAATGATCCACGCTCAATTATTTCAACGTTTTTTTAACAATTCCAAGTCCATTTTTTTGTAGATGATGTTGTCTGTGTTCTTTAGAATATTTCCATTTATACAAAACCCATCTTCGGCTAGGCTGGCCACTCTATGATGTGTCGGGAAAAAATGTACGCCTTACTAGTACCCTCTAGAATATGCCAAACATATGCGTAAAAGGCACTTGGAACAAAAGTGATACTAAGTATGGAAACATTTATTTAACACTGTGGCTATATGGCTGGTAACCGGTCAAGGTTTTCAAAACACTAAATGACCGGCAGTCCGGTATTTTCAATAAATTTGACTTATCTAAAAATCCCAACCAATCCAAACTATCATATGTAGATTAAGAAAAGTCAAGCGATCCTGAAATGCTTTATAGATCTCAAGACTAGCGTTTGGTTTACGCTGGGCTCTGAAAACGAAACCATGTTTTGTGACACTTAGAACTTTTTTCAGCTTCCTCTTTCCTCTTTCCTCTCTCCGCTTTCCGCTTTCCTCTTTCCTGTTTCCTTTTTCCTGTTTCCTGTTTCCTTGTTCCTGTTTCTTGTTTCCTTTTTCCTCTTTCCTCTTTCCCTTTTCCCGACTTATCTAGGAAAGATCGAAGCGACTGCCGTTCATTTAGGAGGGGGGTCATTTAGTGTTTTTACGATCATGACCGGCAGTCGACCTGAAAAAAGTTTTAAGTGTCACAAAACATGGTTTCGTTTTCTGAGCACAGCGTAAACCAAACGGTAAACTTGAGATCTATAAAGTGTTTCAGGATCGCTTGACTTTTCTTAATCGACATATGATAGTTTGGATTGGTTGGGATTCTTAGATAAGTCAAATTTATTGAAAATACCGGAATGCCGGTCATTTAGTGTACCGTTTTGAAAACCTTGACCGGTGACCAGCCATATAGCCACAAATTTAAAAGCACTTATAGGAAACCGAGGTCCATTAAGTAATTGGCCAAACCACTGTTTAAATAAAACTCGGCCTTATGTAAAACGTAGCTATTTTACAAGAAAGTGCACTATCGTTTGGAAAGTGTTTGACGATCACATGAGGAAGCAAATTATTTTACAACTAAAAAGCGTTAAATTAATAAGCTTAAAGTGATCTTTGCGCT